GAGATAGAGAATAGGCCCGCATACAAAGAATATAAGGCTAGTTTACATGATGTGGCATGACTGCGGAGACAAAGAGTGGGGAGAAGTGAAAAATTACTCTGTGTAGCTTGAGCGAGTCAGTGCATGGGGATGCAACTAACCACCATGTGGACATCTGTGAGACAGTACATTTCCTTACAGGGCATGACAGTGGGTTCAGATTTGAACAGTACGGACAGAGGTAACTAAGGCACATTCAAACAGAGATGTAGGGTTCGACATAGTCTGAAAACCAAGAGAGAGGTCAAAAATAGGAGTCTCCTGTGTGAGACTAAGTGAAAAAAACCCGTGCTTTAACCCACAGGAAGAGTACATGGAACATGTCTCTGATACACCAATGTAATAACCTTGAAAACAATGTAAAAATAGACTAATAAACTCATGCTAGCTCCTAGTGATTACTGCTTATAACCCAAGAGCTCATTTTCTTGATCTCTTTTGAAAAGGAAAAATTAAATTTGCCTGTTTTCTCTCCATTCATTATAATTTCTAGATGAACATTCATCCCATGGCAAGTTCTCCCAGTGTCCAGCAATAGGATTCATTGATTTAAAAAAGGGAACTTCAGCCCGACCAGAGTGACTCAGTTGGTTCAGTGTGGTCCTGTGCACCAAAAGGTTGCTGGTTCAGTTCCCAGTCAGGGCACATACCTGGGCTGTAGGTTCAATCCCCGGTCAGGTCATGTGTAGAAGGCAACCAATGGATGTTTCTCTCTTGCATCTCCATCTCCCCCTCCTCCCCTTCTCTCTCTTCCTCTCTCTAAGAGGGTCCTTGGTGAGGGTTAAAACAAAAAAAGACCATAAAAAAGGGGACACGCAGGTAGGTGTTTGTGAAGTCTTCCTGCATAAATTAAAGTTGACCATAAATGTGTAAATTAAAGTTGTCCATAAATGCATATTCTACCCCTTTAGAGACAAAAATAAGACACTGCATTTATCAATAGATATTTATCAAGCACCTATCAAGTCAAACTGGGTGTTAATTTAAAAAAAAGTAGAAGGTGTGAACCCTTCACACAAAGAACCTTTGATAGCCAAATGAAACCTTCCATAAAATCTCCAATATATGGGGTTCATATAATTTTGGAAATTAAGCAAGTACAGGTGAGTACGTGAGGAAGTTAAGAAGTAAACACATGCCACTAGAGAAACAGAGGTGGAGATATGGGTGGATCTGGGTTTGGTTAGAAATGAATCAGAACAGCCTACAGAGGATGGCTCCTCCTTGGCAGGCCTGCTATAAAAAGGTCATTACCGCAGACCTCAGCACCCAGCAGCTCCTTCAGGCTACGTTCTACCCGCTCTTCTGGTGAAGTAAGTAAGAGGAAATATATCTGACTTTGCCTGCTCAGTGTTAAGCAGAGTGGAAATCTGGATGTGTGTATACTCTAAGGCAAAAAGTTCTGGATGTGTGGAGTTCTTATTTTTGGTGGAACTGTTCCTAAAAGATTATTTCAATACAGAAGGGGAATGAGGGCGTACATTTTTTCTATGAGGCTACTCAGTACTCTCTTTATATTGCTGTCTTTTCCGTTCATTCATTCATTCAACAAATATATATACTAACTACCTTATATTTGACAAGTGCAGGTCTTGGCTGGTTATGCATCAATGAACAAGAAAAACTCCCTACTCTTAGGAACTTACTTTTTAGTGGGGAAGACTTTCGGTAAATGATGAATGAACGAAATTTCACACAGTAATAAGAACAATGAGTGATGTGTAAAGTAATAGGAGGAGAGAACTTCAGATGCAGAAAAACAATGACGGGGAAAGGCTTCTCTGAGGAATTATCTTTTGAGCTGAGGTCTTAATGACAAAAGGAACCAGTCAAGGCAAAGGGCAAGATTCTAAACCAGAAGCAAACTTTTTCGAAGAACAAAAAGAAGCCAGTGTGCCTAGAGCGTATTTAACAAGAGGAACAGGGGTCCGTGAGAAGTCCCTGGCTGGGGCAGTAACACAACTGAATGTATGTTTTAAAAACATCATTCTGGGCTGCTAAGTGGGAAACAGGGTAAGATCACAAGAGTCGGAGCAGAGAGATGGATGGGTTGCAGTTTTAGGTAAGAGAAGATGGGAATAACAGAAATGGCAAGAAATAACTCTTTGCTGGAGCCAAAATCTAGATGTTATCCATGATTCCTGTCTTTTTCCCTATCAATGCACCTCCCTCCCCTCTGACAGCTGTCAGCTTGTTCTCTGTATCTATAGATCTGTTTCTGTTTGGTTTGGTTCATTTGTTATGTTTTTTTAGATTCCACGAAAAAGTGAAATCATATGGTATTTGTCTTTCTCTGTCTGACATATATCACTTGGCATAATACCCTCTAGAGTCATTCCTATTATTGCAAATGGCCAGATTTCATTCCTCTTTATTGCTGGGTAATATTTCATTTTCTATATATGAACCACATCTTCTTTATCCATTCATCCATCAACGGACACCTTGGTTGCTTCCATATCTTCCTGGCTGTTGTAAATAATGCTGCAATGGACAGAAGGGTGCATATATCTTTTAGAATTAGTGTTCTTGTTTTCTTCAGAGAAATACCCAACAGTGGTATTGCTGTGTCATATGGGAACGCTATTTTTTATTTTTTGAGTAGGCTCCATACTGTTTTCCACAGTGAATGCATTAACTTACAATCCCACCCACAGTGCATGAGGCTTCTCTTTCCTCCACATTCTTGCCAACACTTGTTTGTTGATTTTTTGATGATAGCCATTCTGAAAAGAGTTGGGTGGTATCTTATTGTGGTTTTGATTTGCATTTCCCTGATGATAAGTGATGCTGAGCATCTTTTCACATGTCTGTTGGCTGTCTGTACATGCTCTTTGGAGAAATGTCTATTCACACCATCTGCTCATTTTTTAAACTGTATTGCTTGTTAAGTTGTATGAGTTCCTTATATATTTTGGATATTAACCCCTTATCATTTGTGAATATCTTCTCCCATTCAGCAAGTTATCAGTGTTCCTTCACTGTACCAAAACTTTTTAGTTTTTATGTAGTCCAATTTGCTTGTTTTTGCTTCTGTTTCCCTTACCCAAAGAGACAGATCCAAGAAAATATTACTAAGATTGATGTCAAAGAGCTCTTTATTGGTTAAATGTCTTGCATGTATTCTCCCACTCTGTGCATTTATCTTCCCTACTTTAATAAGGTCCTTAAATGAACAGGCATTCCTACTTTTAATGCAGTCCAATTTTTCTCTTTATGACTAATACTTTTTGAGTTTTATTTAAGAAGTATTTCTCTACCCAAGGTCTTAAAGATTCCTCCTATGTTATCTTCTTTTACTTTTACATGTAAAATCCACCTGAGAACTAATTTGTTTTTCCTTATAAAAATCCAATTAACCCAGCACCATATTTCAAAATATATATATCTTTTCCTTACTGAATTGTACCACCACCTTTCTCATGAATCAAATTGTCCATGGTAATATTTGTTGATTTTGGACTATATTACCTTTCATTAATCCATTTGTTCAACTTTGCACTGATGCCATGCTGTGTTCCTTACAATATTGTTTGACATCTAGTATGTCCACAAAGTCTGTCTTCATCCAGGTTGTCTTGGTTAATCTTAGCCCTCCATATTTTCATATAAATTTTAGAAATTACTTCATCAATATTTACTTTTAAAACTTCAGAGATTCTGAATGGGATTTTATTACATCTATAAATGAATTTGCAGAGATCTGACATCTTAACAATACTAAGACTTTCAACTGATGAACAAAGCATAATCTTCCATTTATTTAAATCTTCTTTAATTAATCTCAATAATATTTATAATATTCTGAGTACAGACCTTTAATGTCTTTCATTAGATTTATTCCTAGGTAATTCCTGATTTTTATGTTTATTTTATTTTCTAGTTGTTTATTGCTTTTGTACAGAAATACAATTGATTTTTATGTCTATCTTATATGCAGAAAGGTTGTTAATTTTATTTTAGTTTACTGGTACTTTTATTTTCCACATACAAAAATCATATCATTCTGGGGGTAATGACAGTTTTGTTACTGCCTTCCCAATTTTTCTGTTTTAAATTCTTTTTCTTAACTTGTTGCTCTGGCCAGGACCTTCAGTACATGTTGAACAGGATGAGAGCAGGTGTACCAGTCTCATTCCCAAACTCAGGGATGAAAGCTTTCAACATTTCTCTCTTGCATTGAGGGGAGGGGAAGGGAAGAGGGTGAGGAGGGTGAGTTATGTCTGGTTTTATAATTCCTAAAGTAGTCTTTATAATGTTTTTATACAACAAATGTTTGTTCAGATTTAACATGCTTACTACTTTTTGGTTAGCAATGAGATATATTAAACATTCCTTACATGTTATGCTATTCCTTAAGTGGCAAAATAAAAGCCAGTCAACAAAAAAAATGTTTACAGTATGGAAACGCCATTAAAGTCATCCTATCTAATTAAAAATACTGCAACCATCATGAATTGTTGGGGGAAAGAAAAAAAATGTTCGTTCAGAGTCTCAGTAACTTGGCTTTCAGAAAATTACCTCTCAACAAACTGATCACTTAGCAAATTTGCTTTTAGAGAATTGACTTTCAGCTAATTGGTATGAGGAAATTTTCCTGCTTTGGGTCAGTGGGCCTTTCTACTATCCTGCTGTGGGCAATAGCCAAGTCAGCAAGAAGGATGGTCTTATCTAGAGCACACTGAGGTCTATAAGACTATCTAAATCCTGCTATGAATGGGCTCATGACCAAAAAACTGGCAGTTTTCATAATTCAGTCAAACTCTGTGTTGATATTCACTATGTACATGATAAAGAGAGGTTTTCATGGCCAACTTCCATTTTAAAAGATGAATTACTTAGGAAAAGATGTATGTTTAAAATGTGAAAATTCACAATAATAATTGATGTGACCTAGAAAAACAATACAAGAAAAGTACATTTTTATTTCTTCTTTCTAGCTTCACCTATATTTCCAAAGGATGTCTACTCTTCTGGAAAACATCACTGCCATCATCAAAATATTCCAACAGTATTCCAAAACGGACAAAGAAACTGACACACTGAGCAAAGAAGAGCTGAAGGAACTTCTGGAAATGGAGTTTCGCCCAGTTCTGAAGGTAAAGATATTTGCCAGGATTAAAGAGTATAGCACCTCAGGATGCATTAATAATCTCACAAAGGATTATTCTGAATTTTTGTGAACTCTAACTTTAGGAATAAAAATTGATTTAATCTTATTTCAAAACAAATTTCAAAAATTTCATTTCCCTCCTTTATACCTTTATATCCACTATACACACACACATGGGGTGTGCATGCACACACACCCTCTATGGATAAGAATATGAATATTTAATGACAAAGAAATGAATACCAATTAGTTAAACCTTCATAATATTCTTCCTACATCATGAATATTGAGACAGTATGTTAAAAAGATAGTTCAATTATGGGCTTTCTAATATATTGATATTTGAAGTAGTAAAAAGAGGAACTTTGTCATCAGATCTTTTCATGTCACCACATGTGTTTAAGATTTCTTTCTTTTACTCTATTACCTCTAGTTTTCTGCAAGACACAATAAGCTAAACTATATAAAAGAAAAAACACCAGTTTGGTTTTTAATTTAAGTAGCAAAAATTCACATTCCCTAAATTGACTAGGAATTAAATTGATCATGGGAGTCTGCCTAATGGACCCTCCCTTTCTGTATGTCTTCTGTACAGAATCCAGATGACCCAGACACTGCTGATCTCTTCATGGATATCCTTGACATAGACCACAACCAGAAATTAGACTTCGAGGAATTTTTTCTGATGGTATTCAAGTTGGCCAAAGTGTACTATGAGTCTAAAATGAGACAGAATTTCCAAGCCACAGGACAGAAGCAGAAAAAGAAGGGATATGAAAAGAAACATGTAGAACATGACAGAAAAGGAAAAGATGAGAAAGAAAAAGGGGAAGAGGGTAGAAAAAGAAAATCTAGCCATTCAAAGAGTGGTGAAGAGGAAAAAAAGGAAAGATCCAAGAGCCCAAGAGGAAGAGGGAAAAAGAGACATGGGTCTAGCTCTGAAAGAAAGAGTGCGAAAGGTGATACATCTACTCATAGACATAGAGATACACATGGGGAGAAAACTCACGAAAAAAGGGGAAAAGAGAAAAGTAGCTTAACTTCTACTGAAAAACACGGGAGAAAAGAACTTTCAAGCGTTAGCCCAATCAGAGGAAATAACGGCAAAGATGATGAAATGGATTACGGAAACACAGGACTGCTGTGTGCTAAATTGAAAAGAACAAGATATAGTGACTCATATGCATATGAAGAAAATACATATGGGAAAAAGGACAATCAACTGGAAAAAAACAAATATAATGAAAAGGTAGAGTTAAAATCAACAGAGGAAAATGTAACAACAAAGAGGTATACAGATCAGAAAAACAAAACATCAAAAAATAAATATGAACATTACTCCTCTAATGACAACAGAGCTACAAACCAAGGGTCCAGCACTAACCAGAGCAGTGAGAGCGAAGGACACGCAGAAGATTCACAAACACAATCGCGGTCTGGTTCAGGAAACCACCATGTAGATGTCCATGGCCAGTCAGGAGATAGCTCTGGACATTCTAGGTCTCAACGAGGGCAAAGAGCCAACCATGGGCGATCTGAGTCTGTCCATGGACAGTCAGACAAAAGTGCCAACAGAAGACAAGGGTCTAGTCATGGACAGTCTGCAGGCAGCTCTAGACATTCAGGGTCTCATCAAGTAGAGACATCCTCTGGAGGACACAATGTCTCATCCCATGGGCAATCAGGATCAGGCTCAAGAGGACGACAAGAATCCAAGCATGTGCTGTCACCAGACAGCTCCAGACACTCAGGCACTGGACATGGACAATCTTCTTCAGGGTCCAGAACAACCAGACATCGGGGACCCAGTAGTAGTAGTCAGGCAAGCGACAGTGAAGGACACTCTGAAGACTCAGGTAGACATTCTCCCTCAACCCATGACAGGACTGGATCCAGTTCAAGGCACCACCATGGATCTACCCATGGCCAGTCAAGAGACAGTTCTGGACATTCTGGGTCTCATCAAGCAGGGACATCCTCTGGAGGACACAATGTCTCATCCCATGGGCAGTCAGGATCAGGCTCAAGAGGAAGACAAGATTCCAAGCATGTGCTGTCACCAGACAGCTCCAGACACTCAGGCACAGGGCACGGACCCTCCCCTTCAGGACCTAAGACAACCAGACATCAGGGATCCACTAGCAGTCAGGCCAGCGACAGTGAAGGACACTCTGAAGACTCAGGTAAACATTATCCCTCAACCCATGACAGGACTGGGTCCAGTTCAAGGCACCACCATGGATCTACCCAAGGCCAGTCAGGAGATAGCTCTGGGCATTCTGGGTCTCATCAAGCAGGGACATCCTCTGGAGGACACAATGTCTCATCCCATGGGCAGTCAGGATCAGGCTCAAGAGGAAGACAAGATTCCAAGCATGTGCTGTCACCAGACAGCTCCAGACACTCAGGCACAGGGCACGGACCCTCCCCTTCAGGACCTAAGACAACCAGACATCAGGGATCCACTAGCAGTCAGGCCAGCGACAGTGAAGGACACTCTGAAGACTCAGGTAAACATTATCCCTCAACCCATGACAGGACTGGGTCCAGTTCAAGGCACCACCATGGATCTACCCAAGGCCAGTCAGGAGATAGCTCTGGGCATTCTGGGTCTCATCAAGCAGGGACATCCTCTGGAGGACACAATGTCTCATCCCATGGGCAGTCAGGATCAGGCTCAAGAGGAAGACAAGATTCCAAGCATGTGCTGTCACCAGACAGCTCCAGACACTCAGGCACAGGGCACGGACCCTCCCCTTCAGGACCTAAGACAACCAGACATCAGGGATCCACTAGCAGTCAGGCCAGCGACAGTGAAGGACACTCTGAAGACTCAGGTAAACATTATCCCTCAACCCATGACAGGACTGGGTCCAGTTCAAGGCACCACCATGGATCTACTCAAGGCCAGTCAGGAGATAACGCTGGACATTCTGGGTCTCATCAAGCAGGGACATCCTCTGGAGGACACAATGTCTCATCCCATGGGAAGTCAGGATCAGGCTCAAGAGGAAGACAAGAATCCAAGCATGTGCTGTCACTAGACAGCTCCAGACACTCAGGCACAGGGCACGGACCATCACCTTCAGGATCCAAGAAAACCAGACATCGGGGATCCACTAGTAGTCAGGCTAGTGACAGCGAAGGACACTCTGAAGACTCAGGTAGACATTCTCCCTCAACCCATGACAAGACTGGGTCCAGTTCAAAGCACTACCATGGATCTACCCATGGCCAGTCAAGAGACATCTCGGGACATTCGGAGTCCCATCAAGGGCACAGAGCCAATCATGGGCCATCTGAGTCTGTCCATGGACAGTCAGACAAAAGTGCCAATAGAAGACAAGGGTCTAGTCATGGACAGTCTGCAGGCAGCTCTAGACACTCAGGGTCTCATCAAGCAGAGACATCCTCTGGAGGACACAATGTCTCATCCCATGGGCAATCAGGATCAGGCTCAAGAGGACGACAAGAATCCAAGCATGTGCTGTCACCAGACAGCTCCAGACACTCAGGCACTGGGCATGGACAATCTTCTTCAGGGTCCAGAACAACCAGACATCGGGGACCCAGTAGTAGTCAGGCAAGCGACAGTGAAGGACACTCTGAAGACTCAGGTAGACATTCTCCCTCAACCCATGACAGGACTGGGTCCAGTTCAAGGCACCACCATGGATCTACCCATGGCCAGTCAGGAGATAGCTCTGGACATTCTGGGTCCCATCAAAAGCAGAAAGCCAATCATGGGCGATCTGAGTCTGTCCATGGACAGTCAGACTCAAGTGCCAACAGGAGACAAGGGTCTAGTCATGGACAGTCTGCAGGCAGCTCTAGACACTCAGGGTCTCATCAAGCACAGACATCCTCTGGAGGACACAATGTCTCATCCCATGGGCAGTCCAGATCAGGCTCAAGAGGAAGACAAGGATCCAAGCATGTGCTGTCACCAGACAGCTCCAGACAATCAGGTACTGGACAGGGACCCTCCCCTTCAGGGCCTAAGACAACCAGACATCGGGGATCCACTAGCAGTCAGGCCAGCGACAGTGAAGGACACTCTGATNCCAGAACAACCAGACATCGGGGACCCAGTAGTAGTCAGGCAAGCGACAGTGAAGGACACTCTGAAGAGACAGGTAGACATTCTCCCTCAACCCATGACAGGACTGGATCCAGTTCAAGGCACCACCATGGGTCTACCCATGGCCAGTCAAGAGACAGTTCTGGACATTCTGGGTCTCATCAAGCAGGGACATCCTCTGGAGGACACAATGTCTCATCCCATGGGCAATCAGGATCAGGCTCAAGAGGAAGACAAGATTCCAAGCATGTGCTGTCACCAGACAGCTCCAGACATTCAGGTACTGGGCAACGACCATCATTTTCAGGGTCGAGAACAACCAGACATCAGGGATCCACTAGTAGTCAGGCCAGTGACAGTGAAGAACACTCTGAAGACTCAGGTAGACAATATCCCTCAACCCATGACAAGACTGGGTCCAGTTCAAGGCACCACCATGGATCTACCCATGGCCAGTCGGGAGACAGTTCTGGACATTCAGGGTCCCATCAAGGGCAGAGAGCCAGTCATGGGCCATCTGAGTCTGTCCATGGACAGTCAGACAAAAGTGCCAACAGAAGACAAGGGTCTAGTCATGGACAGTCTGCAGGCAGCTCCAGACACTCAGGGTCTCATCAAGCAGAGACATCCTCTGGAGGACACAATGTCTCATCCCATGGGCAGTCCAGATCAGGCTCAAGAGGAAGACAAGGATCCAAGCATGTGCTGTCACCAGACAGCTCCAGACAATCAGGTACTGGACAGGGACCCTCCCCTTCAGGGCCTAAGACAACCAGACATCGGGGATCCACTAGCAGTCAGGCCAGCGACAGCGAAGGACACTCTGAAGACTCAGGTAGACATTCTCCCTCAACCCATGACAGGACTGGGTCCAGTTCAAGGCACCACCATGGATCTACCCATGGCCAGTCAGGAGATAGCTCTGGACATTCTGGGTCCCATCAAAAGCAGAAAGCCAATCATGGGCGATCTGAGTCTGTCCATGGACAGTCAGACTCAAGTGCCAACAGGAGACAAGGGTCTAGTCATGGACAGTCTGCAGGCAGCTCTAGACACTCAGGGTCTCATCAAGCACAGACATCCTCTGGAGGACACAATGTCTCATCCCATGGGCAGTCCAGATCAGGCTCAAGAGGAAGACAAGGATCCAAGCATGTGCTGTCACCAGACAGCTCCAGACA